TTGAAAAAACCATGACAATTTTTAGTTTATAATGTCACATTTCGGACAAGTGTGTACAGTTTGAGAGCCGAATAAAAAATATGTTGTATTGTTCCTTTTTTAACAGTTTCACGCTTGTATTTTCGGTTTAACGGCCCAGAAGAGTCATACTCGTACAATGTGTTAGAATATTATTATCATTAGGTGTACACTGTTGCGTTTTTTACAGATCAGTCCACATTAACAATAATGGTACGTTGTGTGATTATGGCGGTTCCGTTGCTCGTGGTCAACCTAGTGTAAAATGTCGTTGGACACCGAGAACCTAACCGGGATCAGTGTTGGTAGCGGAGCGTGGTTATCAGGTTAAATTGGCAACAGTCCACGTCGCAGGGTCATAAAGGGCTGGACAAATGTCGTGTTGGGGTTCAATGATAGAGGAAAAACAACACACCTAAAACGCCTCCACGACTCGAGTGATACACATACCTGCTCCCGGGGGACTCGTTTACAAAATCGTAAAAAGAGTACTTGTAAATCACAAACGGCTTTGGCGAAACGTTAATTACAACAGTGGAATACAACGATTGTCTTTCATTGTTTTCGTCGTTTGACTTTACTAAAAAAAAAAAAAAAACGCACCCCGAATGATTAATTATAAGGGATTTTCTTAATTATTCTCTTATTCAACACAATGTTCGCTCGCTTTCCCTTGGCGCGGCCCATCTGGCTGTTTGATGATATTATACTAAAAATCATGAAAAAAAATTACCTTCGTAAAACCTTTTTGATTCTTATCGTATAATTACAATTTAAGGTCTTTGTATATTTTCCCTTCGCTATCAAGATTAAAGAAGGTTAATTTATAAATGTTAACGTATATATTGAATTAGTTGCTTTTTTGTTGAAAATAATTTGTTGGCAATTTTGTCTCGTCTATGACCAGTTTTGAATAATTACTTATAAAAATTATTTAAGTTAAAAATTAAGGACAGGAGGAAGAGATAAGTGTATCGTTATTTTTTTATCTGACAAAATTAATCAACCGCACTACACTTTCCGTCCTAAATTTTACACTTAAATTTTAATTCAAAACAAGTTACAAACTGGTCAACATTTTCAGCAAACTATTCTTTATTTTAAAAAAAACCTAGCACACTCCACACCAAATCATTAAAAAATTGTCCATTATATTATACTTGATAATAATTACAAATATTAGTATACTACACCGACCCACTTCGAAGCGTTTTCTTGAAAATAAAAATCTGGACTTGACTATAAAAGAAAGAAATAGGTAAATTTATAATACATTTTTTTGGGACGCTGATTTCAAATTTGGTACCAGTTTTCAATTTCACAGCTTACTTGAGAGCGGTTGGTGGGTAAAGTGATTTTTTTTAGAATTTAGACTTCTAATGTTGTTTTCATAAAATAGCTTTCGAAATCTACAGTTTAGGTTTTTGAGTCACTTCATAGGTGTTTTCATAATAAAAAAAAACATTTTTCTATTTATCTTCGTATTATTATTTACATTTCTAACCAACTTAAATGTAAATAACTTGATGACATACTAACGACCCAGCTGTTGATTTGTTTAAAACATATGAAAAAGGATAATGTTATAGATAATGGCTAAATCTACTTTTCAGCTTTTAAATCCTTAGTTTTATGTTGTATCTTTGGTATGTTTTAAAATGTTTTATTTGTATTAATTGCAAATACTATTGAAATAAATATGAATTATAATTGTCATTTATAGCCCGTTATGATATTATAATAACACTATTGTTTAAAAATGTAAACTTTAAGAAAGAAATTACAATTTTACTTGAATTAATCTGTGTTCAAAAGTAATCGAAAAATACATTAGCATACCTATTCAATTATAAGTAATATTTGCAAACAATATTCTATTTAACTTCCAACTTCCATTCGTATATATATATATCGTAATTATATATTACAAATCATTTTTAATTATCAGTATGCGAGGTGGTTTCTTAGAACTGCGACTTTGAAATTGTTCAGTTCTACAGAAACAAATTATTTTGTAGAATATCTTAGTTTGTATGTAGGTGCCGTTGTACTCGTACGTAGGTGTATTATATTTGTTTATCTCTCGTCTCGTTCACATGTATATATTTACATTTACGCACCGTTGCCACAGCACATGGGGGAAAAAGCATTCGGTTGTTAGAAGAGGGTAAACAGACAAGAAATAAACACTAACTCATGAATTTAATCGTATAAAAATGCGTAATAATATGTCTATGCGATCAAAAAATTCAAGACTCTATTAAATATGTGCATTTATTTAAAATCGCAGTTTGAATAGGCCCTGCAAAATATCATAACGAAGCATAAAAATAACTTCTAGAACGCCAAGCAAGTTTTCCGTACTTAGGAAATTTTTTTTATTTTTATCCGTTAAACGTTTAACTGATTATAAAAACAATTTTGCAATTTTTTAAAGTTTTTATTCTCGTTTTAACGCCGAAAAGTCGGCATTAGTATTCCCCAGAACATCCGTCAGTTGGCGTTTTCATCCGTGCTGTCTTGGCGACCACCGTTCCATTGGTCTTATAAATAACCAATATTCACCTTGTTTGATTATTTTAGGTTCAGCACGGTTGTGCAGTGTTGGGGTTTTTTTGATGTATTATTGCATTTATTGTAAATGTTCTTCACGAAGAAACCAGGTATGCACAGTATTTAGTCACTACACTGACCTACATGTTCACCCCAAAAATTGTAGTCCCTATAACTTACAGACCTCAGAGTGGTCACGTGGGTGGAACTAAGCTAATAATGTGCATATCCTGAAAGGTATATATTTATTTATTTGTGTATTTAGTTAGTTATATTGTATATCGGTCAAGTGCCGTATCATTTAAACAGTGCCGTATCTTTGTATCAATTATTGTTTTGAGATGTTTGTTTCCATTCTTAATAATAATTATTTTTAACAAATATTTAACTCATTAGGAACCAAACCAAAATTTCGCCGTTGATCAATGCGTAAGTGTAGTACTGAAAATTAAAAATTAAAAATAAAATTACTTATTACATATTGTACAACTATTATACACTTAAGACTCATATTCTGTAAAAATATTTTCTCTATGTTTTTATACAGCTTGGTAATTTTGTATATTTTATAAATGATCAACATTTTTCCAAAAACAACAACTTATTTAAGCTTTTATTTTTATAACTGCTCACGTCAAGCAAATGTAAAGAAACGCGTCATTAATCATAATGTGAAAAAAACATAGTTCAAATATTGTCTTAGTAAAATTATTAGTTTAACAACGTTTGGACGCACATGACGTTATTTAATATGACTTTGCCTATTTTATCGGACAGCCAAGAACAACCACATAGAATATGGCTTCCGTGGCACAATCATGATATGGCTGTTAAGCAGATAAGTGTTTTAAATAATTTGATAGCTGGTGATGTTGATGAAAATATGTGTTGTTTAAAACTGAAAGACGATTTAGAACTGGTATTTCTCGAGTATGCAATGAAAACGTCAGCGAACCGAATGACTGATGTGCAGTTAAACAAGAAAATAAAAGAAATGCTATTGACAAATATGGACGAAATTCATGTACGAGTATTTGGAAGTGAAACAAATATTGTAAGGTCCACTGACCGCGTCTCCGCAGATTACATTGAAGATCGAATGAAGACTTTTAATGAAATAAGCAGAAATTATAACATTGAGATAAAATCTTTTATTGAAGACAAAATTAACTCTAACAGATTATTTGTAAGTGTATTAAGTAGTTTTCTGTTCAATCGCTTTATTGTAGACTTCATTTTTAATACCGAAACTGTGCACATAGATTTTGATGTTATTCGGTCATTCGTCATTTTTTCTGATGAATTTTTGGGTATTACAAACAGTGTTAGGAGTTATCTAGATAATTTCATCATAGATATTATGTAAGATATGTACACATTTTTAAAAAATAATCTATGTAATGTTATATTTATCGTATCTAGATATTTGTTTCGTTATTCTTGGTTTAACATAATAATATTTCTGTGCATTGTATTTTGTACTGATTGTGAGATTAATAAATGGTTAGTATTTGAAAATACTAACATTTAAATGTTAGGACGAGAGGAGAAATGCGGTCAAAAGTGTGCGCAGATAGAAATAACACTACATTCCACCTTTCTTAAGATACTTAGTGGTTCACGGTAAAATGATTCCTCTGTACAAATTTCAAAAACTACATTATTGTATACATAAAAAAAAAAATTAGAACTCAAACTTAAAAAGAGTAACTTAATATGGAAGGTTATTCACATTGTTAATAATTTGTACGTGACGTGATTATTAGAGCTGCGACTTTGAAATTCGACAGTTCTACAGAAATAAATTATTTTGTAGAATATCTTAGTTTGTATGTAAGTGCCGTTGTACGTAGATAGCATCATTGCTAAGCATCGTTGCCATAGCACATGTGGCAAAAGCATTTGGTTGTTAGAAGAGGTTAAACAGACAAGATATAAACACTAACTCATGTATACAATCGTATAAAATGCATAATAATATGGGTATGCACTATGCGATCAAAATTCAAGTCTCTATTAAATATCTGCATTTATTTAAAATCGAAATTTGAATAAGCTGAGCAAAATATCATAACGAAGCATAAAAACAACTTCTAGAACGCCAAGCAAGTTTTCCGTACTTAGGAATTTATTTTTATTTTTTTCACCGTTAAACTTTTAACTGATTATAAAAACAATATTATTGTAAGCAAAATGTATTATGTCCTAAACCAAATATTTACTTTAGAGCAATACATTTTTCAACAATGACGTTTAACGCTAACCGTACAGACTTTAACGTCAAGCCAAAGAATACAGACTTTAACGTCAAGCCAAAGAAAAATGTTGTCGGTTTATTGTTTTTCTGGGTGACCCATTTATCGGAAATAATGTCAAATTATAATCTAACCAGGTAAATAATGAACATTTTTCTATTATAAGTTATTATGGATATTTATTTTTCGGTATTATCCGTGTATTATTTAAAAAAATACAAAATTCGGACTAAATCAACTTGTACAAGAGTAACTACAAAACTGTTTTTTTTTATTGTCCATATCTATTTATTATTTGGAGTTGTTTGTTGCTATATTCAATAATCATTATTTTGAACAAATAAACTTATTAGGAACCAAACAGCAAGTCCTCCATTGATCAATGCGTAAATGTAATACTGAAAATTGCAAAAATAAAAACATAATTAATTACATACTATGTAACTATTATACACTTAAAAACTCATATATTTTGTATAATTATAGTTTTCTTTTCCATGTGTGCGAATAGTGTATTATTTTCTTTTCCAACTTAAATATAGCGTACAAGATGGCCGCTTAACATTTTATATTATAGAAGATGTTAAGATATTTCCTATACTTTTTTATATCGCTTGATCGTTATTAGATTAAAAAAAAATAGCCAAAACTAGGCAGTAAATTAAATATAAAATCCTATAAGTACTAACTTGGGCTTTAATTATTAATTTAGCGCTACTTGTTAGAGTGGAAATCGAGAAAATATTTATTAAAAATTCATTGCTGGAAAATGTTTATCTAAAACTTTTGTTTCACTAGAAAATAATTCTAGTCCATAAAATATAGAATGCCTTCTATGAATGTCTTTCATAGTTCATATTATTACAATAACATAACACATACCTGCGAGCTAATGGAAATCTCAAAAATTGTTCCTTGAACAATTACCATTGTCAAAAAGCTGGAAACGCATAAAGCCGCAAAATAGTTAAGTCCAATAATAAAGGCGAAACTCTCGTGTTGTAAGTATTTGGCAGTTTCAGATCTGGAATGAATAAAAAATATAATAATTATAGCAGTACACGTTTGATGTCGAAGAACTAGAGTTATCACATTAATTTGTTTGTATTTTCATTACCTGGCTATTATGTACATTACGTTGAAGATTAACATGTAGATAAAGTACATAAAATACACTAGGTTCAACGTAGACGTCATCGAGTATACGGTGAGCACAATACAGTTCAACAACGCTCCAAAGAAGAGACACAAATTAGATATCCGTTTCCACTGCAAGTTCAAGTAACTCAAGCCGTACGAAGCGAACGCCCCTAAAAGTAATAAAAAATAAATAAATAGAAACCATCGGTGATTTGTAATAGTGTACTTAGGTAGTGATATTATTGCAATACAATTATTTTAACATAAAACGAGTGTAGTTAAGGAATCCATTAATCAAGTAATTATGTATTTACCAACGATAAAGGCTATGGCATCGACTCCACCGTTGTACAGTTTGTTGTTAACCGGATCGAGTTTGTTTAAATTTGAGAACACAACGTCATTGTACGTCAACACCTGCACGCTGCGAAAAAGTCATTGTATGAACGGTTTGACAAGATCAGTCGGTAACAGCTCTAAATATTCAATAGCTAATCGTTTTATTTTTACCATAAACTTTTTTTTTTTATTGAAAAATCCAAACCAAATGGTTGCAAAAATAAATTTACTTACCTATGATTTACAATAATATAACGATAGGCAATAATAATAATATTAATATTATATGACCGGAATGGTCTACTAATGATAGTCATTATCATCGTACTAATTAAGCAAAAAACAAATATTATAGTATTATACAAACACAATGATAATATCGTTGGGGAAAAATGTATAATCGCACCTGCATAAAAACGCCTGTCGACACGCTCGACCATATAAGGTATTTAAGTAAATACGGATTAGAATAGGTGTCTTTTAACTCCAAGTATAATTGATTCAAGACGACTACGACTGGCCGAGACTTCGGTGCAGGCTTGAAGTATTTCTTTGATTTCTATATAAAACAAAACATTTTTTTTTATATACAGCTAGTTGTGATTTTATATGGTTGAACATTTTTGTAATTTTTGTTTAAAATTTTTTAAATTTTAAACGCTAATGAAATAAAGATTTTTTTATATTTTTAAATAAAAGGATTCACTTATAACAATTTTACTATACTACAGTTTGACTTACACGTGTTATTAGCTTGTCCAGAATTTACAGAAAACTAGTATATTGATTTCTTATGTTGTCTTGGGCAATTTTTTTATTTTGGACATTCAATGATATTTTTTTTACTTTGGGGTCAATTAAGGCAGCGCTATCTGGTGATGCTTTATCGCTACACGGAAAAACCGATTACACACAAAGAGTGCACCACATAATACTTCACTGTGACTTGTTTTGCATTTATTTCAATATTAACTGCTGTAATCAGCTACATAATTATTGTAGTTTTCGAGGAAAACAAATTGAAGAAAATACTTCTTAAATCAGTTTGAAACATAGATTACTCAAAGTGCAACAAGAATTTATTAAAATAAAAAGTTTCACCTTAAAAAAAATTAAAATTAATTTATGAGTTTTCATTTGATACGCTGACCAACGTACCTAATTATTTATAGATGAGCTATGTTTTAATTGTGCTACTAATTAAACAATCATTAATCATTTTTTTTTTAGAACAACAGTTTCATTTTAAACCAATCGATTACCATCGAACAACTCAATGAAGTAAGTGAATTATCAATATTTTTGACGAATTTAATCTGAAATAATGTACTCACATTTGACGTTGTATCTATTGATTTATAATCCATTTCTTTGTTGATTTCTGTCGTTTGTTCGGGGTAAAAATAAATGCTACCTTTCACGGTAGGCAAGAAGAATGAAAAAATAAACGCCATTGTCGAACCTAGAGTAAAAAGATTGAGTAAAATTAATTATATTATAATACACATAATATTCTTTTTTTGTCATTATTTAGAAATTGATTATTTGTATTCTATTCTTTGCGCTATTGTCATTAACAATGACATTAAATCATCAATTTAAAAGTTAATGTCTAGTTACTAGTTAGATAAGTTAAACTTTTTTTTTTTATCTGATAAGTACATATTTTAAAAATGTACAAGTTACGAATTCGTGACCAATATTGAAAACGAACTTTAAGCATAACTTAGCTGTTAATTGTCAACTAATGGTACCTATTAATTTGCCCAAAACACAACTAACCCACTAGGCGTGTCCGTTTGAAACGTTACCCGTTTTCGTGTTGCATTTTTTATTGTATATAGTATTATATTTTGATAGACTTAAGAATTGAGAACATAGATATATAAAATAAACTAGATTGCTAACTGTACATGCCACCAATAGAGAAGATTGAAACAGCCACTTTCCGCCATTTCGGTGAGAATTAGAACCTTATCACGCGAGAATAATATATGTTTATAACAATTACATACATATAATATTGATATAATTATATGTACAGATATATATTATATGCATTGATAACACACATAAATCCCACCAGAATGGCGGACCGTCGGCTTCAATTATTATCGTTAGTTAGCAGTCTAGTTTATTATATATATCTGTGATTGAGAATTACAACAGTATCAGTTATCATACCTGCTAACGAAAGATACACAAGTGTATTGTAATCGATATCGAAATACGATACTGCGATTTGTGATACGGTGGCAGACACACATCTGCCCAACAGGTAGGCCGCCCTAAGGAAACCGGTCATTTTCTGATAAAGTGCTCGGTTTTTGACTTTCGCATATATGTAAGAAACGTACGCCAATTCGGTAGCCGACGACAGACCTGTGAGAGCCAACGCAAGCTGAAAACATTAATACATATATATTTTTTTTTAATATTTCAACCCAATTAATGGCTAAAAAAACAGTCGCAATTAAACAATTTAATTCTGGTCTAAAAATGACAAAACATGGGAAAATCCAAGTAAAGGGTGGTTGAGGGGGTAGTTGGGATGGAGCTCATTGGGACGGGAGAGATCTACAGGAAATGTTATAACTAAAAGTGAAAAGAATCTATTTTTATCAAACCTTTTGATGCGAATCTGTGGATAACAGTAATACAAATATCGATAAAAACGTTGTAATGACAATAGTGTTGCTAAATATTATGTTGCCACTAAAGTGTGTAAAATGTAAATCGTATACTCCCATAACTAAATATGTACAGTTTTCTGAATTTGTTTACTCGAGGAACGCTAAATTTTATCGATACATTTGGTACCGTTGGAAAGCATAAAAATGCAAGCATAATAATTATTGAGTTAAAAATACATTATTGTTTAGCTAGTGTTTATATTATATTAATACTAGTTATATTGTGACGAAAAATACGTAGTAAAGTAAAAAATATACACAAACAAGTTACCTGTGCTTTGAATAAAGTAACCGGTTTCATGACTAAACAGTACATGACCATCGAACTTAAAGCGTCCAATATCACAATGGGCTTATATCGAACAAAATCCGTAACAAGAAATACAAAAATTGTCACACTTGTACATGCGTACGCATTCCATGGGTAAATTTCTTCGGTAATCTGTAAATAATGCATAATTATGTTTTAATTACAATAAAATTACTTCAAGTCAAGTAAAACGTAGTTTAACTCTTTTACCGCGATTTCGTTACATGAAATATTATTAAGTTTACTTTGGGAGCTTTTTAATAATTGTGGAATCCAAAATTTGTTTCAAACAATTTATACACAATACAGTATAAAATTTAAATTGTATATTACTCGTTTGGTTAGCACAGTTATTAATAAGTCCAAAACAATGAAATATGGATTTTATCTGAGTTTTAAAAATACATTTTTTTAACCACCGAAAATAGGTTGAAAACTTGTTGATTAATGTTGTCGCCGACTTATTAAACTGATAATATTTAAACTATAAGTCTTGTAAAACTAATTTTTTGCTGTTTTGTGTCTTATTCAAAAGAAAAAAACAATTAAATCATTCGAAATCACTTATTACTTGAGTAGTAGTGAAATTAACAGCTGGACTAGTTAAATATGCCGTGTAAAACGGATCGACTGGACGAAAATCTCGGAAGAACGCAAACGTGCACAGGAACAACGTCACTTTTATCCAGTCTTCCATAATTATTGTTCCAAAGTGTTCTTCGACCTGAAACAATTTTTATAATATATTATATAAAAAAAAATACAACTTTTTTCATTTTGGGTGCGCAGAGGGGGCGGGGGGTTGTTTGTTGGACAGGGCGTTGCCACTTCCCGCCAAAATGACCCTCGACCATTATCACCATGACCGATTTCCAAAATAAATACAAATAATGTTATACAATTTTTTTCTAAGAACCCCCCCTGAACCCTAAACTATAAAATCATAACGCTAGTTGTACGCTATAATATATAGACCAGCGTGATGTGTAGACGGAGAGCTTTACTTCATATATAACATAATAACATTATACTTTTAGATAAAAATATTATGCGTCGCACTCTTCTGTCGAAACAAGTTTTCTAGTAAAATGACACGCTATAATAGTCTCTATATAGTAATCGATAAAGCGGAAAAGATAATGTTTTACTTAGTCCGTATGTTTGCTATCCGTGATATCTACTCAGTCAGTGTATTTCCCGACACGTGGAGCTCGTTTGCCGTGTAAAAATAAACCTATGATCGGTTTCTTAGCTGTAGTTGACTTTAAAATTGTTAAAAAAAAAAAATAGCGCAATATGCCGACGGTTATTTGTAATTACTTAAAATTCTAGTGACATCATACAAAAAACGCACTTAACGTTTGAATAATTAATTAATAATTTTAAAAAATCACAATAAACAGTGTAGTCGATATTTATTTGCTGACGAGATAATGTTATCATCGGCATGTACCATAAAGATGGTATATCCTATGACAAGTCCAACATATCCTATGTTTTTTAGGTTAGCAAAAGAAATATCGATTCGGGATTTTTTCAAAAAATACATAAATTAAATATCAAAGATTAAAAAAAAAAAGTTGTATTTTTTTTATTTTGGCGGAAAACGGAAACACCAGTTCGACCGTAAGTGCTTTTTTATTTAGTATTTAGCTTTGAAATAATTGGAAAATAGTTATACTTGTAACTTTATGGTACTGAACATAGTGTGTAACTTGTACTTATTCTTGTGACTGATGTGTAATTATTGTAGTATACAGTTGGAAATCAAAATTTGAACTAATTTTTATAAACTTTTTTTTTCATTTTCTAACCACTTGTGATTAATAGGTAAAAAAGGAATTTATTTAAAAGTGAAAGTAGTATTATTTTCATTAGGTAAAATAAAAATAAAAATAATTGGTAGATTTTTTTTTAGACATGGAAGTTATTGATAAAAATTAATTTTTGTATTAACAAGCAAAAACCAGGTTTAACCGGCGTTTGTACGTCGTATAATAACGATCATACATATTTGTCGATATAATTAATTATACTTATCAGTAAAGCGTATTCAGTATGTTATTTGAGATTATGATTCACAAATTAGCTAATTAGACCATTGGTCATACACAAACGCCGTTCAAATACTTTAATAGTTCGAACTTTGTGCTACTTAAGTTACAAAATATATATATTTTTTTTAATATTTTTCAGAGCTCTAATTTAGAGCTTTACCACACATTACATCTCGCCATATAATTAAAACTTCAATGGCTTTATAAGTAATTATTTAAAATTGGTTGTCGACCAGTCTACATTTTTAGTAAATCATTCCTAATTTAAATAGTTAATTATACATTTAAGTTAACATTTATGTTTTAATAACTCTGGAATAAAATAAAAGTTATTTCAATAACTGTCTGATATTGTAAAATAGCATCCAAAATAAAATGTCTTCAAAAATAAAAAAAACTATTAAATGGCAATTGTTTTAATCTTAATGAACCGGTTACGAATCATCATGTGTAATATTATAGTAGATAATTTATTATTGTTTAATATATTAAAATCGTGTTGATTACCGTTTGTCGTGACGTTGAACTTGCGATGACAACAGAGAAGATGCACCCGTTGTTGATATCGACCGAACTAAACTAATAAGAGTACAAGTTTTGCTTTAAGCAATAAGTGCTTTATCTGGTCGAACAAAAGAAGACAAATGACCTGTTTTTTTTTTTTAAATAAAATATAAGAATAATGACGACTATCGTGGAATTCGATATTGTATTAGTTTTTCGTCAACTGTGGCAATATTATATTAATTAAATTGTACATACGTTCTAATCAGGTGGACCGATTATATCATACTACATAGGTATAATTTATTTATTTACTTGTCCATTGTAGTCTAGCGCATTTACATGTCATTAGAACAATATAGTTCTCCATTTTGTTTTCTATTGATGGATTTTTCTATTAAAAATATTAGAATTTGTCTTCCTTATGAAAAATATAATAAATGTATAATAGCGCTTCGACGGTTTCAAACAGCTTAATTCCCAAACGGTTAGTTAGAACGTTTTTAATTACTAAAAACATTATTATTGAAGGTACTGAACTCGTAAGATAATATTATAGTGTTTAATCTTAAATGTTTTAATCAATTATAAACCTAATCATATTAGACTCATTAAGTATAAGACACTCGTTTGTTCTTAAAATAATATTGCAACTTTGTAGTTTTTCTTTGTGTAAACATTTTGTTTGTATTCTCTTACAATATTATAAAACTACTGAATATTTACCTTATCTAGTATTTTTCAGAGCTCTGTCAACTTATAACACTTAAACGGTAAGGTATAATATATTTGATTAACTTTTTACAAAAATTTGCCGCATAATTGTCTGTTCAATAACCGGTTTTGGATATTTACTTTTATTGCTATTAAAATAGCCGTCAAAAACTGGTTATTAAACGGTCAAATTTTCTGCAGACTGTACTTAATAATTAAAAAAATTGTATTAAATATTATATATTTTGCCATTTTAAATGTCAAAGTTGATAAAATTATAAAATATTAATTAACTCATGAGAAAATTTGTGTTATATTATTAAGATATCTCTCTATATGCTAAAAGTCTTTTTACATTAAATATAGTTGCAATTAATAAGAACATTTTTAATTTTCCTTAATGAATTTAGTACAGGACAGTTGAACAATAATTTTTCCTTATTGCAGATTTCTGTTTTCCTCTTCTGGTGAAAACGAGTAATATATTTTAATGATTTAAAACACAAATAATATTGATAAATTGACCTAAGTAGATAAAGAGTTTAGATGTTTTATTTATATTTTAATTATAATGACTTTGATCCATTTGTTATTGTAACGCATTAACGTTTAATCTCAAGCTAATTATTCACGCATAACTAATTATATACATAAATATTTATAACTCACATTTTTCATTGTTTATCTGTTATTTGTTAAATGTACAATATAACTATGTTCCTAGAACGCAAAGAATTCGGTTAATAGATAATATTATGTAAAAAATAAAAATTTAATCAGTAGTTTTAAAATAAATATTGAATCATTCCCGTTTTGTTTTACCTAAACATTTTTTTTTTTTATTAAGAATAAACATATTATTTTATTTTTATTAACACCGTCGTGGGATTTTGAAAATATACATTTACTATTGTTAGAGAATGTTATAGAAATCAAAATATAAGGTTTAGAATATAATATTTATAAGTTGTATGGTCGTTTCGGTCATGTAAGTTCGGTTTAAAAATTATACCTACTTCTTATTACCGAAACAAAAGAGTGGAGAGTTATCAAAATATCACTAACCTTTATTTGAGATGTGCTAAGGAATTATGACGTTATCGCAGTTTCAATTCCATGTCCACTTGCATGCATCTATACTATGTTTTCCAGAGTAAGCAAAATATTCTATTGGTAAACTAGATTATAAATTAATTATTTAAACACTTAATACTATTAACCGTCGACAAAATAATAATAATATTATAGACTATATTATACAATAAGAACCAAACGATTTGGTCCTAACGGCTTCGCCGGACGAAATGGACCGCATGGATGCATTGTATACCGCATTAACGATTCAAGGGCGACCGGCTTATATAAAAGAACATAATGTGTGACCTCAGATAAACTCACTTGTAAACGGCATGTTATATATACTTGGAGTATTCTACAGAATGTAATATTTTATTCGAATACTTTCGGATGAGTTCAATGTGCACACTTAAACGGCCGTTTAAAACAGTGTTAATAAATATTATAATATGTTAATATTTATACAGTTTAAAAGGTTATTTTTTTACAACATACTGTTGTTTAATTCCCAATTATTTAGTGTGAGTTTATAGAACTCGTTATTTACCATACATATAATTACATTTATTTATGTGGCAAAAAAGTTTTTTAATCAAATTTCCATCCATAAAACTATTTAGGTTTTGAGTTATATTACCTCAAAAAAAAAGAGCGCAGTAGGATTTTATTTTCTTTTAGTAAGTTTTTTATTTACTAAATGAGATTTAAAATTAAATTGGTTTTAACTCCATCTGTTTGCGGAGAAAGGATACCAGTTGTTTGATATTCGTTTTTCGGGTAGATAGAGCCCTCAGTATTAGATCTGACAATTTTTGGACATTCTGGAAACCTTTCTTTATAATATATTTAACTTATTTTTTAAACCTTACCCACGTTAACTTACTTTGTTTTAATCCAGTGCTATTTGTAAGTCTTGATTGTGAAAAATTGCCAATAACTTATGAAGTTCTAGTGACTAAATCTAGTTTAATGGAGTCAGGACGTAAAAGCTATTTTAACTAAAATGATAAAATCATTAAAATAAACGCTTCGATGCTATCTGTAAATGGTAGAAATACAAAAACTGATAAAAGCCATAATGTGCCTAATATTATACCTTGAGTATTAGAAAATATGAGATTAGGCTGTCTATAATAAATAATAATAATGTGTTGCCGCTATTGACCATTTATCGTGGTTAATAATAAAATTAATATATTTTCAAGCACCTATTCTCTGCACGATTTTTTCCTTGAGAAAAAAAGTTTCACTACAGAGTTGGTAATTTTTCCTTCGAATAACCAATAATAATTAATTTATTCAAACGATTTCTTTATTAGATACTATTTAAGATAATGTATTCAAATTATTTTTTTACTCGAAAAAATCTAAGATGATTTTTTTGAATTTTATTTTTATTCTAATAAAAAAATTATTAGACTGAAGATAGATCTAGACTGGGACTATAATCAGAGTTGGGCATTATTAAGATCATTTTTTTATCTAAATAATTATTTAAATACTTCTTGTATTCAATCATTTTTTCTTTACGAATAAATCTGATACAATTTTTTTTAAAATTATATCAACAATAAAATAATTGAGCTATAAAAAAAAATATTCAAAAAAACTCTGAATGTATTATCAATTTTTTTTTATTTGAATAATAGTTATTCGAATAAAAATATTATTCGCCGGTCATTCGAATAACTTTTTTATTCGACCAAATCTAAGATGGTTTATTCGAATAATTTGTTAATTAAAAAAATCTAAGATGATTTATTTTAATAAAACAACTTATTCGGCGGTCATTTAAATAAATTATTCGAATAAAAATATTATTCGAAGATCATTTGAAAAACTGTTCGAATAAAAATGTATTTAAATAATTAATTAGCTAAAAAAATTATCTAAATAATTCCCGACTTTGATTATAGTCCCAGTATGGATCTATCTTCAGTCTAATAATTTTCAAATCTCAAGTCCTAAAATGATTACACCTAAAACAGTGAAAACAATAAAAAATTTCTAAATGTTTGGCTGAATAAAGTACTTTTTTTTGTAGGATTTCTATGAAGTTAAAATAACACAAACAGCGTTAATTATATTTTGTTTATCGTGAACCTTTTTTTTAAAATTAATTATTATGTCAACCGGCCCTTAACGACTTCATTAGACTGAATTACAGGCGTGGTTGCACCTATGCTGCTGCCAATTAATATTTTCACTTCTCGCGCATTTGAGTAGGAGTCAGTAGGTAATTTCTTTTTCTTTTAACCACACTGCACCATAATCTACCAGAGGGTATCTGCTTTGAAAAACGGATTGCACACAGCACTTCAAGTCCAGAGTAGAATATTTACTGGCAAAATGTCAAATCCCAGTTAGCCCTCGAAGGAATTGCTTTATTTTGCACTCGTTTTTCCTTTTGTTTTTGTTAACTCCATTGTGTCATGATGATCTCGGCCGCAGCCCCTATTCAAAGGCGCAAAAACAAAGGAATTTAATATGTCCTCACCTCCTGATTTTTCCAATTCACAGATTCAGAAAAATAGGGATTGTTTTTCGACGGCGAAATATTCATTTATTTCTTGTCACGAGCCAAGTTTGAAAACGCTTTTGCCTACACGACAAAAGTCACCGTTTAAGATAAACATTTGTATTGTAAATGTGCGCGTTACAAAATTGCTACCAAAGTCTTAATTGCATATTTACAAATGTCAATAAAAGTATTGTCGTGACAATGGCAATTGTAATTTTGAGTATTAATAGTGGATAAGATTATACTTCCTGTTGATTGTCAGTCTATTCAAATATTGGCAACCTACACAATTTACTTACAAAAATTAACAACACATGTTGAGTAACGTTTTTATTTCATATGGCGTTATATTGGTGAACAAATTGAGGGGACTACGTTAAACTAAACTAAATTATAACACACAAAATAATATAATAGCGAATCTACTGTCTAAAGACCGGCATTGAATTTGACCAGCTAATATTTTGCCTCTTTATCGCACTTGTGTAGTGCATTTATGTGTACACCGTTCTAGATCTACCAGTATTCAAAATTTCAAACCTTAAATCTTAAAACTACACCTAAGAAAAGCGAATTAAAAAAAAAACGTTCTACCGTAGAAATGGTGTTTTGGTGTTATTTAAGAAGGATTGAACTTTTTAAACTTTTGGCCCATTCAAATATCGTTTAAGTACGATTACTAATCTGCAGCCTGAAGAAACTGGTTCAACGGTTTAAGTGATAAATTTAGTCCATAAACAAAATAAATAAAATCCTATTTGTTGTATAATAAACACAGTGTTTTGCATTGTATTTTAAAAAAACTGTGAACAATTTTGCAAACTGGAAATATTAAGGATTCGTTGTAAAATCTAACACCGCTTATGTATTTTAAACGCGTTTAACTCTTTACGGTACGATTACTTAAACATACCGTAATGTATTATTAGAGCATTTAATTTATTTTAACTATGCAATACAATACAATATTTGAACGGTATATCTATACATTTCAGTAGGTACATAGTTCTTTTTTTTTTACTAATAATGCTCTTTGGATGAGCCTATAACGACGAAATGACGAAACGTCATATACTTTGTGACCGAGATTGAAACAGAAACCATTTTATGTTTAAAAAATAAACAACAACGTCGAATGGACGATATACGGCCGTTTGCTCAGGATGTGTATTTGAAAATGGTTTACTTCCAAAAGTTGAATCATCCGTCAATAAAGGTGAAAATAAATTATTCAGACATGTGTGCGTTAGTATAATAAACACAATATGTTGATCAGAACCTTTTTGTGATTTACACCATAACTTGAAGGTATATTATAATATTATAACATTATGTACATGAAAAAAAAGTAGGTATTATATGCAAAAACTTAATGAGAAAATTGATTGCATATTTTCTCATTAACAAAAAAAAAAAAAGAATTATAACTGTAAAATTGTTATTTATTAAAACCATGTCCTGCGCTAGTTTTTTAATTTAATAGTGTGTTATAATATTTTATATTTTACGTTTTCGAAACAATAGTTAATTATTATTTTAATGGTAATTGGCATAAGTTAGTTAACGATTACTTTTTCTGTAAAAACCAAGGCCGATATTTTTTCTAATTAAAGAAACAAGCAAACGCTTTGAACAATACAATTTTATCTGATAAATTGTTTCAGAATTACACGAAGTAATCGTATCTCAATTGCTAGAAGAGTTATATAATTATATGATTAGAGTATAATTTTTTTTTTATTAAGATAAAATGAATGGGTTCGTTGTATTATATTGGAACAAGTACAATATCGTGCTTTGTTATGAGAAAATTTGCTTTCATCGCCATAAGATTGGACTTCAACAAAAATCATTGTGCCAAAAGTGTGTGTGAATCTTTGTATAATGTAACTAAGAGTGCTTCTTGGCAATGGGCTTCCGCAGTCATATACTTGAAAGTTGAACCATATCAGAAAATACATACATGTATTGTTCTATGGTTTCTTTTTCTTTGACAATATCAGTTATTCTGTGTTTACGGTGTAGAAAAATAACCTTAATTGGACATAAATAGTCACGTAGGTATTATACACGTTCAGTAATTGGTATTATTTTTTATGAAAAGCGTTTTCAACAAAACATTTGAGGTAAGTCATAACTAAATAAAAATATACCTTTGAATATTTTACAATGTTGCCATAAAAAAAGTTTAAAAATACTTTTTTGTGTATAACCTTTAGTGGGTTTTACAAATTACACAAAGCCGTTAGAGGTGACGGTCTAGAGCAGTGAGATATTGACATGAAATTAAAAAAAATCATCCATTCACGTTCAAAATCTAGAAAAACACCCAAAAAGATTACATAATCATTTTCAACTTAATTTACGGCTTATATATTATGGTTTTTAAAAATATTTGTGTGAGGTGCAGTTAATTTGATTGGACAATGTTTAAGGTAAAGTACTGAAAAAAAATCATAAGCACTTTCCCCTAGACGGGGTGGAAACTATTTGTTTTTCAAGTGAAGTCTTAGGATTGAAGGACTGAAGAATTAAACTAAGGCTAGACATTATATAAAATTTACTCAAAACTCTGTGGTCAAACTTTGTTTTGCAGGGAACGCCCCAAAAAATGAAATAATTTAAGTCATTGACTTTCTAGGTTGCTCTATAAGAATGAATCAACGGGTATCTGCAGAGCAGCTTCAATACATTTTCCAATACCATAATATTGCATGGGTAAC